TCATAAAACAGTCTGAAAAGCTGTTGGTCTAAAGAAACTAAAGAATAAAGGATTTATTCTGTCAGAGTGGTAACTCGGCTTCTGGAGCACATAGAAAAATGGGAAACATCTCATTTTAACACAAATTTCATGATTAGACAGATTAGTACATTGCTGAATGCATAAGATATCATGATCAGTCATTTGTATTCTTTCACCAAAGGAATGTAGTCTTTATCAGTGTATGGTTGAGCAGGGTTTTACAACCGAGATCTGGAGGTCAGTGTCCTGTTCCTCAGACCTTATCTTGGGGTCCGTATGTTTAAGACGGTAAATCTCAAATGGGAGACCTGGATTGAGTGTTTGTGTTAAATGTTTATTTAGATGGTCAGCGATGGAGTCAGTTTGAAAGCTAATAAAAACTCTGTCTCTGTTCTCCGAATTGACCAACCGTGAAGAGTCAGAGGTTTGGTCAACCTCCAGTCATGTCAGTTAGGTAACCTGAACGTGCAAACAAGTCTGGAAAGATTTATATCCTGTGTCCTGGGACCAGATAAGAAAACTTTCCTGCGAGGAATGTGTGAGTTTCACATACAGGGTTGTCTTGATTGCTACACCGATTAAGGTTTAATCAGTGGCTTGTGTGGTAGCTTATTACAATATGGTAACATAACCAATACATCTTTCAGAATGTACTATATCTCAGTCCCTTCCTCTACACACTATACACAAATGACTGCATCAGCCCCTCACCCACCAACATCACATACGTCAAATACTTAGACGACACTGCCATCCTCACACTGCTTCATGACAATCACTCTATTACGGACTATCAGAACACCATCTCCCATTTCACCCAGTGGTGCACTGACAACTTCCTGGAGTTGAATGTGGAGAAAACAAAAGAACTGGTCTTTCCATTAACTCGCACTAGGCTTAACCCACTCCTCATTCATGGCAAAACAGTTGAACAGGTTGACAGTTTCACACATCTTGGACTCATCTTGGACAATAAACTCAGGTTTGATCAACACATCACTTCCATCCATAAACGTTTCCTTTAACATACTGTCCATGCCAAATAGAAACAAACTGTACAATATCACCCGTATTGCTTCCAAGGTCATCAGACTTCCCACACCCACCCTTGCCGATCTGAACAATAAGGCCATCACCCGCTTGGCACTCTCAACAATAATAATAAATAATAATAATAATGCATCAGATTTCATATAGCGCTTTATCAGAGACCCTCAAAGCGCTTTACATTGGATAGATACATCATTCATTCACTCACACAGTCACACTTTGGTGGTGGTAAACTACCTACGTAGTCACAGCTGCCCTGGGGTAGACTGACGGAAACGTGGCTGCCATTTTGTGCCTACTGCCTCTCCGACCACCACCACACAACACTCACAATCATACACCAGTGGAGGACACACACTGGGAGCAAGGTGGGTTAAGTGTCTTGCCCAAGGACACAACGGACAGACTTGGGATAGGGGGGAATCGAACAGCCAACCTTCCGGTTATTGGACGACCGCTCTACCTCCTGAGCTACTGCCGCCCAATAAGCGACAATGAGCATCCTCTGCATCGTCACTTCGACCTCATGCCATTAGGCCGCAGATACAGATTACCCAGGTGGAAGAGGATTCAGTACAGTAAGAGTTTCATCCCAACAGCCATTGCCGCAGTAAACAAGCTTAAACTGCCTCACCGCTAGGATGGTCCCTGTGTATTCTGGGGGGGGTTCTCATGGCCTGTCCTTGTAATATGTTTTGTGTCATATGGTATGTGTTGTCTGTACTCCTGTTTTGTATTAGAATAAGACCTGTGAAAGCAACTTTCCCCCTGGGGACAATAAAGATTATTATTATTATATAAACATACAGTGACGACAATAGTACAATAAGGAAAACATCTGCAATATACCTCTCCATTCACCTCAACAATTGAAGTGAATGGAAAGGTATTAATTAAGGCTTAATTAATGGTGCTTCCTCAAGGGGTAATGGGCACGGTAGTTCTTTTAGATGTGCTGAATCACCAGAATGGAGAGAGTTGTGGCTGTGTTGCTTTGACAAACACGTTAGTAAAATGAATTTGTTTATAAATCGTGATGTCATAAGGGTATTGTCCTATGGAATGCTATCTGGTCGATCTATCATTATCTGGTCTACTCGGTAAATTAGGCTCAGTGAGTGATTTGTTCACTGAACATATACCCCACAGTACACTCAGGTAAGGATTCACACTGAACATGCACTGTTCTCTTGCATTTTTTTACTCTGCTAATCATAATGTTTTCTTCCATTCATATGTGTTGCCATAATCTGAAATGTGTAATAAGACAGCATTCATATTTTTATGCTACAATTCTTATATTTTGATTCTAGGCTGTTTGCAATTTTGACATGTGTTTGATATTAGTTCTACCAATATTTCTTTAGCCATCAATCACTCAGTTATAGTTTGCTCTATTCCTACTTGTTTTACACAGTAGGTCTATTTATTACATGACAGTTTTTTAAATCTAGAGACTTAATCTGTTAAAACAAAGGGAGGTGTGTGTTTATGTTTAAATGGCTTGACTCCTGTTTCAGTGTCTCCTGCAGAAAGATGGTCAATGAGTGATATGTTCACTGAACAGTTAGACCACAGTGCATTCAGTGAAAGATTTACACTGAACATGCACCTTTCCTTAGCAAATCGCTGCAATGATAGGATCAGACAGTCATGCATTTCTCAAACTGCGGGTAACCGGTTACATGCTGTGTCTTACTGTATTCAAGTTGTCGTGGTGGCAATTTATCAGAGTTTAAAAAAAAAGTTAGTTTTCTTCGAGGTACCCTTGAACACAACAAACCCCTATCTCCCTCCATGGCTTGTGCCAAGAGCTTGCTACAGTTGGTGAGTCTGACTCTCTTCTCATTACTGCCAGCTTAACGTTTTAAGTTTGTTAAATTGGGAACTAAATCTGTTGAAACAACAGAGAACAACGGTTGCCATAAAATTGTATCCCCTAGATAAAATTGATTCCAGAAGTGTAGTTTATTGAGTTATTCACCCACAAAGTGATTCAGGCGTCGGCGTGTGCAGTCTCTCACTCCCAGGCTGCTCGCCCGGCAGTGCTGCCTGCTATGGCAACTGCGCACACACACCCACCCTACCCCACCCCATGCACACACATGGTAGTGGTTGTGTTTTGGTCCTTTGTCAACTTTTACTTGATTCGTGTCTTTATCAGGAAAGCACAGACTGGCTGTCTGTACTGAGGTATAATCAATGGTCATGATGTGAGCCTAGCTTGCTTGTGTAAGGCGAAGGCAGGAATTATTTTTGGGTTTAGAGCCTTTTGTGAAAATCGACTCTTCACCGGAAAAAAGGCAAAATGCATACCAAAATGCTGGAAAAAGATCAATGGAAAAGTCATATTCTCAGCAAGTGTTTGGTGTCTAACAGAAGGTTTTTACGTATGCTGTTTAAACTTCATTTAAGTTTCCAACAAGTTACACAACCTCCTGCTGTTAGGACTCTAGAAAAAGCTTACAACAAATGGCTGTCAGACATTTGATCTAACGTGCAAGTCACCATAATGTTAATCCTGCAGTTCGTTCCGCAGACTGGTTGCCTGTACTGAGCGTATATATTCAGTATAATCATTGGTCATGATATGAGCCTAGTTTGTCAGTGTAGGGCAAGGCAGGAGTTATTTTTGAGTTTAAAACCTTTTGTGAAAATCGACACACTTCTAGCAGAAGGTCTTTACGTATGCTGATCGGATTTGCTGTTTTTAGCAACATTTGTATATGTTGTACACTACTACTACTAAAACCAACATATAATGGATATTATGTTGTCTCATGCCAAATTACCGGATTTGACATCACAGGATATGGCATCAGTGACTTTTCATCCGGATGTGATGTCAGTCACCTTTCACCCGGAGGTGACGTCAGTCACCCACCCCCTCACACCCCCGCCCCACCGCACCCCACCCCACCCTCAAAAAGTGGGGGCTATATACTACTTCAACTACACTAAGAAATGAATGAATCACTTGAGGAATTGATTTTGTTAAGTACGTTCACTTAAAAAATTTATTCTTTTGAACGAATCATGCACAAACAACACAACACTATCAAGAGGGCACTGTCAATCTGGCAACACAGCCTGCTTAAGGCATTGTCTACTACACTTTTGCTAGGCAGCATAAAATGCAGGCACAAAATGGATCCATTTATAATTAAAAAATAGAGCCAAAAATCCAATCCAAGTTTATAAAGAAGCACATTTAAAAACAACAAAATGCAAAGTTTTTAGAGTTTCTTTCCTTTTTTCTGCTTTGAGCAGATCCCTTTGGTGTTCAGATATTCATAAAACATTGCAGCTTTGGCCAGACCCAGATCACAAAAATCTCTTTAATGGATCTGCTCTTTGAGTCCGGACATTTCAGCTGAACTCAATGAGAGTCCTCGCTGGCCCTGGTGTGATCATGAAGATAAAACTGACCTCACACAGAGAGACGAGGACGGAAACACAGAGAAACAGGGGAGGGCCACTTGTTTTGTTGTTCAGATGCTTTTATGAGGCCTCCTCTCTTCTTTTATTTCTTCTAAGGGTCCCTTTTTCTTCTTCATTGCTCACTTTTTTCATTTCCTTTATCGTACTCCCTCTCAAGCTCCAACAGTGTTTCTCATTTCCTTTCCTCCTCTTGTCTCCTCTTTCTCTGTTTGGATGAAGAATACTTACAGTATTTTGAATTTGTGTTTTAAAACAGCTGCTGGTGGACTGAAATATTATCCAAGCTACTACACCTGTAGTTCTAGTTTATCTCTGTAGTTCTTCTGTAGCTCTGCTGTAGATCTACTGTAGTTCAGCTGTTGCATTGTTTTCACATGGGTAAATTGTCACATTGCAATTATCTTTGCCACCAGAGGGCGCAACTGAAAGGGGAATACTAGTTTTATTCCTTTACAGGGTCAGGGGTCGTGTCTTCTTTGAGATGAGAAGAGCACATTGTGAGCTGAGGTGAGTGCCAATTAACCATTTTGCACGACCCAAAGTAAAAAAATTTAACTTGATATATTTTGAAATAAGCTTCTTCCAGATAAAAATCCTAGCAGTGATGCATGTGGACTTTTTAGAGGAGAGATTAAGGCATCCCTACATACCTCAGTCCTTGTTCTGTTTTAAGATAACTTTAAGCACATAAGTTAATTAGCAAACATGGTAGTTTGTGGAAACATGTCTTAGTCATTTTGGGGTTAGTTGTCACATGTTTAAAAGGGATTAAAATTTACATAGAAAGTCTGCTTATCAGCAGTTGTCATTTTGAAATTTGGACTTTATTTTTACAGAGAAAAGAGTGGTTTAAAGAAGAGGAGAAAGCAAGAAGACGGTGAGGAATTACAAAAGAAAAACAGAATGTGACAGTGCAGTACCTGGCGTGATGCTGAGGGCAGTCAGGCAGGTGACCCTAGCTAATAAATCAATCTGAAGGACAATCAAGTACTTAAATGTCAACTACCATACCTTGGCTCATTCACCTCAGCCGAAACACAGCTCTCCTAACTCCAGAGCATGTTGTGTAGTATTTTATGTTAACGTTTGTTCAATGGCCATGCTCAACGACTTTTTCTTTCTCAATGATAAACATTTTGTGTGCCTGACTTTGTTGTTCACTTTCAAGTAAAAAAAAATGAGAATAAAAATTTTGTCCTTGTTTTATTAGCTGCAAAATCCACTGTGAAATCTTGCCCAATGGTGGGGCAACATGTCACATGTTCACACTCTCTCTTTGATTGCTTATAACTCTGCACTGACAAAAGATATGAAAATGACCTGAATACGAAATATATACCTAAAACTTTGGTCTTTCATCTAGTACACATTTTGTTTATATATGATGTATTGATTACAAAAAATATATGAGTGTAAAAAGTGTGACAAGAAGCCTCAGTCTCACTTACAAAAGGACATATGTGCATGTTTTGTCGTTTAAAAAAATAAAAGTGCAGCAGCCCACATGAAAGAGAGTAACCATGTTAGAAAACTGATCTGCTCTTTCACTAATTACAGAGAATTTCATCTTGAGAGATGGCCACAGTGTCATAAGTCCAATCTTGAAGTGAAAGTGGGATCAAAGAAACACTGCCAGCAATGTCTTTTTTAATACTTTATAAATAAAGTGTAAATAATGTTTAGTTGAACAGAGAGAATAGCTTATTTTGTACTTGCAGATACAGAGCCAAAAGGCTGCAGGGACCTTGGTGCTCTGAGGGAGACAAATAAGACGTGAGGCCTGACATGCTAAATTCATCTGCTACTGTTTCTTCTAGCATTAAAATAAGAGCTATTTTAAAAACTTACAATGAAATAAAAAAACACATGTAAACGACACATCAGGAAAAGGTAAACTGTCACTCCAAATATACCCTAAGGGGAGAGAAAGAAAGTTCATGTGGGTCGACGGAACAGTTAGAATGAAACTGTTGAGAAAGAAAACAAAAAAACTGACATCAGTCAGTGCGTTTACATGCACAGCTTAATCAGATTAAGCTAGTAATTCATTTTTTTCACCGAATCAGTTTTCTCTCCTTGTCCGCGTATACAGTGCATCCGAAAAGTATTCATACTGTGGCGAGACTGGTGAGTTGTAAGGACCCAGAAGCAGACATAGAGACAGAGATCAACTTAAGGTGTAATTTTAATGTCCAAACTCAGGTTTTATAGGCAAAAAGAGGAAGTCCGGTAGCCTGGTTGGCTGGCTGTCGTGTGGGCTGGAGACACTGCAGGAAGAACCAGAGGAGAGGGAAGTGAGTGAGCATACAATGAATCAGGATCAGAGTTACGAATTCAAATTCAAAGAAAGGAGGCCAGGAGACGCATTTATACCACATGGAAGTGAAGACAACACTCAGGCGCTGAGACTGAGGACTGCTGGCTTCTTGAAGTGCCTTGATTGCAGATGTAGAGCAGGTGTGTAGTCTCACTCAGCCTCAGTGACCGGGGGAGGGGAGGGAGCTCTGGAAGAAAGTCAAGCCAACCAGACAAACACGGAAACACAGGAAGTCCAGCCAAAATAAAACAGAAGGAGGAGGCGTCTCACCACACATACCACTTCACTTTTTCCACATTTTTTTATGTTACAGCCTTATTCTAAAATGGATTAAATTGCTTTTTTCACTCAAAAATTCTACACAAAATACCTCATAATGACAAAGCGAAAAACTTTTTTTAGAACATTTTGCAAATTTATTAAAAATAAGACACTCAAATGTTGCATATATATAAGGATTCACACCCTCATAAGCTGTCTTTTTCTGGTTAAGGATTGCTTTTATGTCACTTGTCATCCAGGGTTTGTTGTTGGGGAAACAGCGAACAGTCTTTGTTGGTCTAAAGAGGTGTTCAGACCAAACGCGACCTCGGCAACGTCAGCAACGGCTCCCAATGCAAAGTCTATGGACAGCCACGACCTGACGCGACTTGGCGACCGCCGGCTGCCTGCGATGCGTCGCCGAGGTTGCGTCGCCGAGGTCGCGTCGCCGAGGTCGCAGGACGCCAAGTCGCGTCGCTCCCAAAGTTCAAATATTTGAACTTTGGGAGCGACTATCCGCGACTCCATGCCGCGACAGCCAATCAGGGCTCTGCTGACATCAACAAACCGGCGAAGCAAGGAGGAGGAGAAGAAGAATCACAATGGAGGAGCAGTTTATCACTGCCGTGAGTTATCACCCGGTCCTGTACGACGTGTGGTGCAGGTTTTACCGGGACTGCATCTCCAAGGAGGAGGCATGGGCGAAGGTGGCCCATGATTTCGGGCTTTCTGGTCGTTTGTTTATTTATTTCAGTGAGCAGATTATTTTCTGAAAACATAGCAAACTTCCCCTGCTTGCTAGGCTACATGTTTCAATGTGTGTGTGTGTGTGTGTGTGTGTGTGTGTGTGCCGCAACCGCTGGAAGGGGCTACGGGATGTATATATGAGGGAGAAAAGGAGGGAGAATGAAGGTGGGAGAAGCGGGTCAGCGGCGACCAGCCGCGTCCTGCGACCGCAGCTTTGGACCCGTTGTGAACACACCAGGGCGCCACTCGATGCGACGTGACTGACCAACGCGACGCGACCTGGTCGCGTTTGGTCTGAACACGGCTTAACTGTGTCTCTACAGAAATGTATACAATCAGTAAAGCAGTCAACCTGTTCGTCAATGTTTATACTATCCACATCTGTTTCCAGTAGCACTGTTGATTTTAAACAGTCCCTTAGAGCTTCACTAGCTTGAGGTGTCCATCTTCTGATTTTGACTTTGGTCACAGGCTGCCTCAGTACACAAGGTCTGTAACAGGTTGCTTGCTTGAGCATCTCTGTCTGACCTTATGAGAGTGAAGGTAGATCCAACTGGAGTCCGAGTTCTTTTGATTCAACCAGGTCTCAGTAAAACACAGGAAACTGCACTCATCATATGCTTTCTCAGTCTTCACCAGTATCTCCAGCTCATCGCTTTTGTTGGGGAGAAAGTTGACGTTTCCCATGATGATTGACGAAAGACAGGGGTTTATATCGCCGCCTCCCAGCATTCAGCTTTGCCTTCACCTTTGCACCAGCACGGCAAGCACGATAACACCTCCCAATGTCCTCTGGAATTGTATGTTGTTGTCCAAATTTGCTTTTTCTCAATGAAAGGAGCTCTTCTCTTGAGTCAACTCTTGGCCCAGCAGAAGTATTCATCAGCAGCCAACAAAATGACAACAAAAATATGAAAAAAATCTGGAAAAAAATACAAAAATTACAAATTATTAAAAAAATATATAAAAAATGTATAATACAGAGAGACCAGACTTGCAGCAACCTCTCAGTACAAGTGCATCATTTGTATTAAGGGAAGGGAACAGAGAACAGACTGTGAGTTATATCAGTTCAGTGAAAAAGTACTAATAACCCTAGCGCTGTAAATCACAAATATAACACACTGGACCCCTGTCTCTCTCACTTACCCTCGCTTTTCAATCAGACCATAAATGTGCCCCAGTCAAAGGCATTCAGTGACAGTCAGAAAGCACATTTAAAAATTTGAACACGAACATGACTGCAGGGTCACTACAGTATTTTTCATTTAGTATTACCAACACTGACATGTCCAGCTTCATGTAGACATGAGCTCCTACAGCCCATCATAGCATTATTTTTGGCATTACATTCACCATGGCAATAATAACAAAGCTACTCTTGGATACAAAAGCAGACTATAATTACCTTTATTCATTATCATTGAACAGAATGACTCTAGAACTGACAGATCCCACCACTGAAGGAGAATTATCTTATGGCCATACATTCACTTTCTTGTGGCCACGCATTATTATCTCAAGTCCATGCGTTGTTTTTTCCTATAATGTCACCACAGGGGCACCATAATTGGGTACCAACCACAAAGAAAACATTTTTCTTTCTTTTTCTTTTTAATGCACCTTTTTGTTACCTTTATTAAAAATTTCAATCGCTGGGGAGTGACTCAATAGCAGTGGTGAGAGTTGTCAGATCATTGTTCACGATGTTATGAAAATAAATCATGTTGAGGGTTTAGTTTTGGAAATGTTCACATTCAAATTAAATGATATAGACAAATGGTCAGAGATGGGGATATTAGTTGATAAGCAGTTAAAAGGAGAGAAACCAGAGCAGCACACCAGATCAAGGATGTGACCTTTAGAATGGGTTGGAAAATTTAAGTGCTCAAAACTAAAAACTGTCCCAGCATGTTGTAAAATCTACAGTGAGTATGTGATCCATGTTGTCCATGAGTATTTCAAAATCACTGAGCACAATAGGATGAGGAGGGAGAGGGCAGAGGAGGGTGAGAAAGAAGGAGAATTCATCAATAGAATCCTTATTGTGTTTGGGTGGATGCTAAACAGTGACTATTACAGTTGGTGTTGCTCCACTCACTTGTAGGACCAAGGATTTAAATAAATTGAACGTTGGGGCAGAGATAGGCAAGACCCTCCATTTCTTACTGTGAATTATTGTGAGACCTCCTCCTCGACCGGTCAGGCGGGGCTGACAGATGAAAACAAACCTGGTGGTGTGGGTTCAATTAGCTGGAAAAAGTCATTAGGTTGCTTCCATAACTCTGTCAAGCACAAAAAAAAATCAGTTTATGGTTGAGTAGGAGGTCCCAGAGAAGAAGTCCTTTGCCTGTGAGCTAGTGGATGTTGAATAATGCAATTCTGACTTCGACCAGGGGTTATGAAATGTCCCGCTAACTTGGCTAGGTTTGCTCACACACAGCTGTTAGCTTTACTGCTGGGACCAGATGGAATTGATGGCCAAGGAGTCGGTGATGTGAATACTCTGGTGGGACCTGTGGTGGATATATTTCCAAGTAGGGAGGTGAGCAGTGTGCCAGAAGAGGTGCAGCACTGGTGGTGGTTCATACAGGTGGAACCGCAGCTGGAGGAGCTCAGTAGCGGTGAATTGAAAAAGGGCTATCAATGGTCTTAGTACGCTAAATAGGATACTCCAACATTTACTGCAAGCAGAATGTCCATGAACCAGAGCAGCCAGACCAGGATCTTTGCAATGCTGCTCTAGCTTGGTCTAAATCTTTTAGATCGGAGATCATGAAAAAAATTTAAAGTTAGTTTATTACAGGCCAGCAGCAGCGCCAATGCTCACTTGACTGGAAGTTCAGGAATGAGCCACAAGAAAAGAATGAGCCCAAAGAAAGTGATGGATGATGTGACTGATGACTGACTAGTTTATATGCACAAACGGAGACGGATTTGATATAAACTAGGCTGAACCTGGTCCTGCAATGGCAGGGAACAAGTCTCTGTTTTTCTGATTGAAGTCTACATTGTTCACACAACAAAGTCATAATTCCAGCATGAGAAAAAAACATGGATGGTTATCATTTCCCTGCTAAACCTCCACATATTTTTATAACCAGGTGAAAAAAATTTAAATTTGCCAGTTCATGTTAAAGTTTGAACACATTTTTACACAGCGGGTAACAGATCCATAGGGCTTTGTCTGCTGTAATATTTATTACAATCATTCTGTCTGTCCACTTTTCCACCATCAATCTCTGAGCAAATAAAGCTCATCAATAGAGTTTGTTTTCTGTCTAATCCTTCTTAATCCAAACATCTCTCTTCTTGTCTTCGGATGCTAATCTTCCTATAATCCGAATAATCCTTTTGTTCTCCTCTGACCAGAGACCTGAATGGACAGATCGATGCGCAGACTGATCCGTCAAGGTCTGCTGCCACACCAAAATCTTACAGTTTAATTTTTTGGGCTGACCCCATCTGAGGCTGAGGGTGGCGTGGCCTAACACCGCAGGATCTGCATAAACCCTCAGAAAGCCCTGTATAGGTTTATTCTGTACACTAACTACATTCAGGGAGCCTTTAAATCCCACTGCAGTACAGTTTAATATTTAGGATACACATGCAAAAGGAAGCTTAGTATATAACCAAGGTCCTTACGAACAACTGGTTTAGTAACAACTAATCCCAAAGCTCTGGCAGAAGAGTCCTAATTTATATTTAATATGAGCCATAATTGACAAATGTGCTGTTGTTCTTTTCTAGCTCTGATTAGCAGCAAATCAGACATTACTCACCACATACTCAGGGTACAGACTGAGGAGAAACTCATTGACAGCTGACTTATACAGACGAAACACAGGTCAAATTGATAGGTAAATGTGCATGTGGCTGGCACAGGTATGGTGTACGTGCTATAGTCACAATCTCAAACTTGAGTCCCCCTTTCTCTTAAGTCACTGCTGTTCCTGATAAAGATGTATTTTTTTTTTCTGTTTTTCTGACAGTAAAGGAAGTAAACCCAATCAGTGAGTGCTGTGACATAATCGGTTTGATACCAAGTGAGAAAGTCCATGTCAGTTCAGGTGAGATTTGAGAAAGCCAACACTCTGTATACCTCTGAGCTTATGTCTGCACAGAGACACAGTCTAAAGTCTCCTGATACACAGGATTAAAGCCACAGTCTGTGTTACAGTGTGGTCCAACAGGCTGCTCCGCCATCTAGCCAAACACACAGACAGAAAACTGAACAGCTCGCCAGACACAGGAACCGGCCGTCCATCCAGTCATCAGCACATTTACTGCCTGAACCGCTCACAGACTGAGTGTTAGCTGTTAGAGAGATATAATCCCTGGGAAGCAAAGGGAATAAAGTGCTCCAAAAAGCCTTGGTGCCACAGTAGATGCCAACAGACTACCAGTTAACACAATGTTTGCAGGACTGCTACAACTACGATCAAGTGACATACTCCAGGACCCGAGGTAAACAGTTTAGCGGCGCTACAACACGCAGCAGTTTCTTGTCCCATTTGACAAGAAACACTTCTGTTAGACACTTGGCTTACTTTGTCAA